TCTTTCCCATGGTGCAAACTGGCTTTATGATGGCCCCTTGAGGACCAGGACATTGCTCAGCTGCTCCTGCCCACATGCACCACAGAAGCAGGCTGATGAGCTGCAGCCAAAGGAAAAAGTGCCTCCAGGTTCCTGCATGCAGAAGACATCAGCCTTGATTGCCTGCAGAGGTGTGCTCCTCTTCCAAAGCATCTCCCTCCAGCAACACCTGGGCCAAAACTGAGGATGCAAATTCAAATTTATTGAAGCAAACCAGAGTTTATTTAGCATTTATTACCCATTGTGTTGTGATATGTGGCTTCTTCTGTCTCTGTTTTGCTCTGGTAAACATAGACCTTTTATTTTTTATTCTTTTTTTAATAAAATATATAAAACATTGTGCATTGCTATCCATAGGAAAATTGTAGTTTAACAACAACAACAACAAAAAAGAATAAGGCACATTCCTGTGCAGCATCTTCAAATATATATATATATATTTAGAACAAAACAAAAAGAAAACCCTTTTCAACCTCTTTGAGGTTGTTAACTTCTCACCAGTCACTGACACATCTCTCATGTTACCATCATTTCACTGCTGGAGGTGTGTGGGGTTGTGTTTGACAGGGGCCAGGGAGGAGAAAAGACTCAAATAAAAACAACCAAAAATAGGATTTTATCCCTGAGGTGTCAGTAAAAAAAAAAAAAAAAAAAAAAAAAAAATCTATATAAATGTTCCCATTGAAAAGGAAGATGAAAAGACAGCCATAAATAACTGAATACACCATGGCAAACATCCAAGCACCGAGATGATTTCACGATGGAAGAATCTCCCTCTCTCCCCCCCCTAACCCCCCAGTTCTCAACAAGTGATATTTGTCGTTGGGTTTTAATTAGGTTAATCTCATGGCTTCTCAAGTCACAAGACAACTGGTCAGGATGCACCTCCCCCTCCCTTCCCAAATCATCTTTCCAGACTTGTCATTTTGTTCACAACTCTCCCACAGTCCTCAGGAAAGGGAAACCAAAAACCCCTAAATAAACCCCCGAACCTCTGTGACTTCTCTCCCAGCCAAGGCAGGAGCACTGGCACCACTGCCTGCCAAACTCCACGTCCCACAGGGGCTGTCACTGTCACCACCTTCCTGCCTGCCATCCAGAACTGAAGGTGGCAGCTTTTGTAACCAGAAGGTAGCAGTGAAGAGGGGTGATAACAATATGTCAGGGAGAAGGAGACTGGGAAAGCTTTATTGCTGTCCATCCGCGTCGCTCCGGGTAGCACGCCTGACAGGGAAAGGGGAGACACCCGGGGGATATTCCTTCCCTCCCTCTCCTCTCTCACGTGCGGAGGAGCCCCAGGTGTGCAGGGCAGGATGGTTGGACCCCCAGTTGCTCAGTAGTAGCGGTTGAGGCTCCTGGTGCCCGGGATGTCGGGCTGCCCGTTCATCCAGATCTCGCGGATGATGCGCTCCCGCTCCTCCAGCCGCTGCGCCCGCTCCAGCTCCTCGGCCGAGGTGAAGACGTTCATGTTCAAAGTCCTCTCAAAGCGGCGGTGCCTGCGGGCAGACAGGTCGGACGTGGTGTCCGAATCGTCGTCGCTGTCGCTGCTGTCGCTGTCGCTCTCCCTCTCCCGAGGGGGCTTCTTGGCGGGGGAGCGTTTGCAGTCCGTGCGGCAGGAAACCCTGAGCACCAGGGCCAGCAGGGTCAGCACCAGCCCGACGCACACGCCCGACACAAAGTACAGGGCAGCCCGCTCAGGGTTTTCTGGAAGGGGAGAGAAAACCAGAGAACAAACCTCGGAAGGACAAAGCACACGCGGCTCCCCTGGGCACAGAGGGGACACAAAAGTGAGACAGCAAAATCTAAAGGTAGAGGAGAAGATATCAGAGGCACGAAGGATGTTCCAATGGCTTTTGTAGAAGTGTGGCTGAGGGAAATCCTGGCAAGGGATGTGGATCTAGATGATCTTTAAGATATCTTCCAACCCAAACCATTCTGTCATTCTATGATTGATTCCATGACTCTATGATTCTACGATCCTTGAACAAGTCAAAAAAATAAAGAGGAGAGAAACTCAGCAGCAGTTGGAACATCGAGTGAGACCAAAGCTAAGAGGTTTGGACAAAAGTGAGACAGCAAAATCTAAAAGTAGAGGAGAAAATATCAAAGCAGGCATGAAGGATGTTCCAATGGCTCTTGTAGAAGTGTGGCTGAGGGAAATCCTGGCTCCAATCAAGGTTGTGGCAACTCTGAACTCAGTGGGGCAGAGCTCAAACCTTTAACCCTGCATGTGCAGTAGCAAAGCTGCTGCCCAACTGGTACAGTGTGAAAAGTAAAGGAGTTTCTAATGGTTGCTTTCACTCCCAAGCCCTCCTTCACCTCGTCTCCCCAGGGAAAATCAGGAAAGGAAATTTAAACCTGCTGCCACAGCTTTTGCCCACATGCAGCACGTGGGTTCCCTGCAGTCATGTCTTGGAGATGTCTGGAAAGGGAAGGAGCAGCCACAGAACTAAATGCTAATTCTGGTGGCTGCAGGAGCAGGGTTGACACCAGGGTGTCACACCCAGCAGTGCACCCACCTCTCTGTCACATCCGTAATCACTGTGAGAGGAATAGAGCTGACTACAAAGCTAGCTGTGCTCTCCATGCTGTGGCCCAGCTGAAACAGGAAGCCCTGCACTATGGAAAAATTAGTATTATTTATTCATAGGTTGCATTTGCTTATCTGGGGCAATCAAGCTGGCTCTTCTCTCAGACCACCAGAACGTGTATCTGTGCTACACAGGCACGGCTGGAGCCAGCTCACCCACAGACATAAGTAAAGGAGTTGCCTACATTTCAGAGATTTGAAAACCTTAAGAAAAGTAGTCACCTTCTGACAGCACTTTATACCTGTGCAGTGTAACTCAGGAGAGCAGTTGCAAAGCTGCCTTTGCAAGCAGGCCTGAGGAGGGCTCTGAGGACACCCAGAGTGTGGAAGCATGAGAAGAACAAGCAAGCAGAACCGGCCTGTTTGTCCTGGAAGGTGCCTGACCCACTCTGGCTCTGCTCTGCCTGGCTGACAGGATGCCAGACACACTTTCCTGCACAATGTTCCTGCACACACATGGGCTTGATTTGGTTGCATTAGTTCCACTGCTCACTCTTTCAGAGCAACCCATTAAAACAAACATAGATTGGAGCCTGGGATGCTGACACATGCAGTTTCTCTTCCCTCTTTTTTGACCATGTCCTGCCTTTCCTTTCCCCTCCACCCTTCTTTTTCCATGCTACTGTATCCAGCTCATGAGCAAGCTGCACCTTGACTGCCACTTAACCAACCATTTTTCATCCCATGCTTGTTTGTGTAGCCCTTCATGCAGTGCGATGGCTGTAATTGAATCTTGGGGCTCCAGTGGCATTTATGAGCTCCTACAGCTACTCTGTCAACATCTGAGACACTGTCTGGACTTCCTCACTGAGCTGTAACCCTACGTTCAACTGCAGTCTTGGCATTTATCATATGCACAATCCACTCGCACAGCAACATCTCTTTTTTTCACAGCAGAAAGAGCAACTTAAGCTAAAAACCATGGGCTCTGCTCTTTCTCAACGGAAGCAGCCAAGTCATAGGCTAGATTGGAGAGTCTGACTGTTGATTGGTGATTTTGAGAGCCTCCCCCAATGCATTTGCTACTTTCAAGGACCAAAAAGGGGCATCCTCTTCAACAAATAGATGCTCAGCATCTTCCAAAAACTCAAAGGTGGCTCAGATTCATCACTCCAACTCCTCAAAACCCTCATGACAGTTGAAAAAAAGAACTCTTTAAAAGTGTATGGACATCAGGAGCAGGAGTTAACATGATTTTGGTATGTGTTGATGTGTGTGTGTGTAGTATGTTGCACCCTTTAACACATGGTTTTTGACCAGTGTAGCTTTCTCTTCCACTGCTGTGGCTGATAGCCCAGAGATGTGTTTTTCTCCTAAACTTCTGGCAGGATCCAGTTGCCGTCAATCTCTTTAGCTGGGGTTACCTTTCCCTTTCCTGGTATTTCTCCATCTGGACTGAAAGCATTGATGAAAATGTCACTGATTCAAGCCTGAATTTAATCCATGCAGAAAAAAGATATATGCCTTTTATAACCCTCTATACAAAAGCCACCCTTTTCTAGGCGCTCAAACAGGCCAAGAATTAGAAACACATTTTATTTTGTTTTTCCAACCAAACCAGCAGCAATTACAAAGCCTGTTTCCTGAGGGTTAACAATCTGCTGGGAGCATCAGCCCAGACTGCCATTAATTCCCCAGGAAATGCCCCAGGCCAAGGTTGTTATTGCTATTATAATAAATTGTTTCAATAAATAAAAACCAACCTAGGCATTAACGCTGCTGGCTTCCTGTGATGGCTTTATGCATTCAGAAACCTCAGTGGGGAGGGAAATTTCAGAGGGCCTCAGTAAAAGGTTCAACATCGAGCAAGGCCAGACAAACAGTAGGAGCAAAATCTTCTAGGGAATTTACAGTTAGCCCACAGGCTGCTGAAATCCCCTGGTAGAACAGAGGAAGCTCTCCAGGAGCCCCTTATTAATAAGGCTCAGGCCAAGCAGTCTAGAAGTTGGAATTATCTCCCCCGGGTTGTTGTTTGGAAGTCCCATGTTAATAACTTGGCAGCAAAGCTTTGCCTATGGAAGAACAGAAGAGGGATTTGTGGAGGTTTCCCTCCAACTGCTTCAGTCTGAATGCAACAACAAAATTGGAACAACTCACTGGAAGGGCTCTGATACAATTTGAACATTTAATATTTATATAACCACCAGGGATGGTTCTGGTCTTGCTGGTAAACTTTGACTGCAAAGACAGTTCCAGCTGTCACTGAGACTGGTGAAGTCTTTCCAAACACTCAAGACAGGTTTTGGAACAGGTCTATGACAAATAACAGATCTGTGGTCTGCGGGCAGAGTTTGCATTTAATTAAAAAGCTAATTCTATAAAGAAAATCAGCTTTAAAAGTCTTTTACAGGACTGAACTCTAATTTTTTTTTAATTTTTTAAATTATTTTTTTTTTATCAGCTGATAAATTCACTCCTCATTGACATCAGACTCTTCCCCTATTTCTGAAGAAATGCTGTTTTCAAGGTTCTGGAAACTGGGATAGAACTAACATCTGACTGGTACTGCTGACCACGATGATACCTGCAAACAGATCTGATGGTGGAAATCAAACAGAGGCTTTGCATCCTGCCATGCCGGGATTTTTCAGTTCTCAATAGAAACATTCCTGACTTCTCTGTGGGAACATCCAACAAAAAGTTGGTAGAAATGAGCATAGAGGCTTTAGCTAATACTGCCCTGTCTCCCCTCTGTGCCCTGCAAGTCTCCACATGTGGAAGTGACTGAGCCTGCAGACTCTTCCCCTGCAGCTGCCCACCAAAACCTGCCATATTGTGCACAAAATGTGAACACCACTGAGCACAGAGGCCTTCCCACAAATCTGTGGGTGCCCTCCCCAGACTAAAGACTAAAGACACTGCCAGGAGGCAGGAAAAGTAATAGAGTGGATCAACCTTTCAAGCGTGCATTTTACCCATTAAATACCAAGTGCCCGTAGTTTCTTTTACCAGGAGTGGATCTGAGAGTACACACCATGTTCTGCCCCAACAGAAAAAGCATCTTTACATGTTGTCCCTGTCTATTTACATGTTTTTCTTGCAAAGAAGTCCAGCTTTGAGCCAACTCATCAGCACGGGGAAGCCCTAAATAGAGAACTTTCAGTCTGCAGAGTTTACCTTGGGGATGTTTTTAGTCTTAGGAAACAGAGCAGTTCTTGCACTAATATTTCCCTTTGGCACCAAGGCTGTGGTCAGGAGAGGTGGGAAGATGTGTGAACCAGAACCAGGCCTCCCTGGCTGCCTGATACCCTGTGTCTCCAGAGCCACTATAATGGCTCCTCTATGGACACCAACAGCTGCTGTGGCTTAAACCACCTTCAGGGTCCAAAACTGGAGTGACCACAAAAATTTCCAACAGTTCTGCTGCTCAAAACATGCAAAATGAAGTGGGGAGGTGGGGGAGAGGGGGTGGCTTTGCAGTGCTCCAGTTTTGTGCAGATGATATTTGTGCCTTGTGACACAGCTTGTCTTTGAACTCATGATCTAAAACCTCATCATATTCACATATAACAAAATAAATCGTTTCAAATCCATCCTCTCCACTAAAACCAGAGGGCTAAATTCCACTTTATGGAACAAAGATGGTTTAGGGCACCTGCTGTTTCAATCCACAGAGCAGTCATCAATTATTTCTTAGAAATATTGAATAGATCTGTCATTGAGACTAAAACTCATCTAACAGCCATGGTTATGTGCAGTGAAAAACATGAGCAACAAGCTCCTGAACTCATCACTGGAAACCAAAGCTGTGAGGTCTGAGTTTCACCTATTTGACATCCAGAAGGTGTGAACATATCACAAGGAGACCACCTAATTAGAGGGCAAGTAAAGAGCACAGCAACAAGACAGTTAAAGCCCTCCTTATTTATTATTTGTGCTACAGTAAAATCTGGAGGCTCCTGCCAAGACTGACACCTCGTGAAGGGGATGAATTGAGGCCTTGTGCCCTACAAAATGGGTCAAAGAGATCTGCTGTGCTAAATGGAAGAAAAGTCCATGGGGCATAGTCAGCAGCCCTGAATCCTAATCCAAGCTGCACCTGGCCATAAATCCTACAACCTTCTGCTGCCCATTACTGCTCAGATGGGGAAAATAATATTAACAGCATTTTGGTTTATAGTAAGTTTGGGAATGAAGGCATTTTCATGTCAAAAACTGGCAACTGTAGGCAAGAGGGAGGAGAAGACTCCTCAATCTTCCCTTGGAGAAACCCATGCCAGAAAAAAATATATCCTACTCAGGTGTCTGTTGTGAAGAGCACTACTAATTCCACTTGAGCTGCCTGCTTCTTGAAAGTGTCATGAAAAGATGGATCTTGATGTCACCATTGGATGTGTAGGAGGGGCAGAACTTTAGATTCACCATTCATGGTCCTTTAAGAAGGACCCACTACTAACCATGCAGAAACACTCTTACTAATCTACCCAGTGATTCCAAAATGCAAAGCCCAAGTTAGCTGTTCCAAATCCAACTGCTTGTTTGTAGCACCATGGTGGTGTCTCAGCAAGAGCAAGAGCAGGGCACCAAGAACAAATGAGTATTTAATGAAGTAGCAAGACTCAGTGGCACACACACACACGAAAAACTAGATCACAGCAATTGCATTTTCAGTCTTATGGACCTCAGTGCTACAGAACAGCAGGGCTGCATTACAGGGGTGCTAGCACACTGGCTGTAGGACACAGAACTACTAGGAGCACATAGTAAAAGAGCAACACATTAACATTACCAGCAAGGTCATATTGCTTGGCAATAAGCACTGCAAGGTAATGAGCATAAAAACTGTTCATTAAACAAGTGGAGACCAATCTGCAATCCCATAAGCAGAAGTTACCACAAACAGCATGTCCTGCCCCAGGAGACTAGTTACACAGAAAATAGGGCCCTCCTTCTGAGGAAAGAAGCCAGGATTGGCCCAAAATGTACTGAATTATTGTATCTGATGCTGTTCAGCCAATGCTCCTCTGGTTTGGGTTAGTTCCTCCAACTCTGCAGGCAATCCTTACAGCTAACAAGGTCCTTCTACACTGTATCAGCTGTCTCTGCTGCAGTTTTTTGTATCAGTGGTATTGACCCCAAGCACTCACGTGGGCACACAGACTTTATTCCAAATTTTAAAGTGTATCTTATTGGAAGACTGCTCCCCTGCTACTTGAAAGATACACGTGGGTGAAAGATAAATTGTGATCCAAGGAAATCTTACTCTAAACTAGATTTAAATACACAATTAGGCAGACTCTCAAGTTACTTCATCTTCACACTCCTACTGAAGATAAGCAAAATTTTCTTAAGCAGGGTAATGATCTGAGTGCTGCTTATTTTCCAAATTAAAGGACAACAAGCCTGCCTCTCTAATGAGCCAGGCTTTGATCTCCAGGAAAATGTAGCATTAGGAATAATACCACATGTAATATTACATTGAATTTAACTTCAGAGGGCAAATCCAGAGGAAACCAGAGCACAATAAACCCTGTTATATACTGTCTGCTAGAGCTGCCCTGGTCAGGTCTTCCAAGGGGAAATTTGCTGAGGGATTAATGAAAAACATAAAGAGTTCAGAGAGAGCTGATTTAACCCCGGGTGCCTGTGACATGTAGGCTCAGTTGAGGGTCTACGAAGAGCTTAGGAGAGCCCAGAGAGATGGCAGCCATAGGACCTACCTGTGACAAAGGCATATGCTGCTAGGATGTTGCTGAGCAGAGCCATCTCGGTGCTGACGCCCACGGGCTCCATGCTGCTGGTGAGTGCTGGCGGTTGTGTCTCATCCACGGGGGGCAGGAAGGGGGGGTTGTCTAGAGGGTAGAAGGTGGCTGATCTCCCTTTCTTCTTCTCTGCTTTGAAACAGAAAGGGAAGGAGGAATGAGACACGTGCCTCAGCCCTATCCCTGCCCTATCCCGACCAGGTCTGGCTCTGCATTCAGGAATCCGAGGCTGCTCTACAGCAGGTCATTTGCCCTTTTTTGGGGGCCACTAAAATGTTCTCAGGTAGCTTCAGCTGAGCACATACCCTGTCTGCATCCAGGGAGCATCTTCTCTCCTCTGTCTCCTGCTCTTTCATGGCACCACTTAGACACACCCACCTACACTACAGCAAATATATAATCAGGTTTCTTTCCTCTTATGTAAATCAAAGGAGCCTGTATCAACACTGGGCTCAGCTAGACTTGTAATAAGGAATGGAAAACACAGGCAGAGCCAGCAACCTCTGCCAGTGTCTTGCTGTAGTGATCCTTCCACACCTGGCAAACAGACATTCTTTCACTCCAGCCTTCTTGGGGAAGGGCAGATCTGAGTTTATGACTTCCTTCAGAAGTCTGCTCGTATTGTGTTTCACCCAGACACCATTTCCCCTTTGGAGAGGTGAGTGAACATGGGTTAATGATTTGATTTTATTTGTTGAAGAGTGGAGCTAAGGAGGCAGCTAATTCCAGGAGGCTCAAAGAGACCCTTTCAGACCTTATCAGCTCACAGCTGAGTGCTCCCTGCACCTTGATCTGCAGGCAGACTCCTCCACTAGCCACAAAACACTAATTGTTTTAAACACTCCAAAAAGTCAGTGCCCAGGATCCAACTCCATCACTCATGTGATTGTTTACCTGTAGCTATTACAGCTCTTCAGCCTCCTTTCCCTGGGAGCCTGGTTCTGTCCAAAAGCAAGCAGCACACTGCACAATCACAGACTTGAACCTGGCTTCCACTTCTCTGCAGGAATGAAATTCAGGAAGCCCTCAGGTCCACCTCTGACAACACCACCAGTGCCAGGCAAGCCAAGGCACTCTGGCAGCAGCCATGAGGAGAGATGGTCTGTGCTCTCTGGCTGCTGGATCCATCTCCCTTCCCTGCATACCTAGCAGGGTGAGGTGTCACGTTCAGCTTCCTGCTGTGCGTGCCAGGAAGCAGCTCAGCCCAAGGAAGCAGTAGCAGGAGCTGAGGGGTGTCAGAGAGAACAGGTAATACTGGCTGGAGAGGGGCTGAGTGCAGGAACGTGCCTGCAGAGGTGCCAGCTCCTCATCTGCCTCAGAGGAGAAGCAGCTGGGATGGATGTCTTGGCATTGCTGCAAGGGATCAGCCCCAAGGCTGTATCTCTGCCACTGAATAGCTGCATGGCCTTGGGAAAGCCACGTGTCACAAGCTGCCAAGGTATTCATCACTGGCTCTGAAGCAGTTTTCAAGCATGAGTGCCTGAGTGGCAGATCCAAAAAGGAAAATTATCCCAAGAACCTCTTGCTTTAAGAGAATGGAGATCACTGAAGATCAGTTGTACAAATGGAGGCACTGGGCACAGAGGGTCCAGGTCACATTCAGC